CTCTCTCTCTCTCTCTCTCTCTCTCTCTCTCTCTCTCTCTCTCTCTCTCTCTCTCTCTCTCTCTCTCTCTCTCTCTCTCTCTCTCTCTCCCGCCCACTCACCATTCACCAGGGCTTTGTACATGAGGGCTCATCATTGAGGAGGTTGCATGGTCCAGATTCCAGAGGCATTCGCGTCCAGTTTTCTTGCGTTGAGCTTGACAATGTCTGATGACTGCAAATCCCTATGCTTCAAGTTGAGGACACTCAGAACTTGGTCGTCTGCAAAATTGAACGCTCGATCGAGCTCCCTGGTGCACATCTCAAACTGATCGTTCGGCTTCCAACACAGCTGACAGCCAACATACGTGATTATGAACGGTGGGGATTTCCCATCCCCTTTCCAACTCGTGTAGTAGTCTTCCAAGTTCTCCATTTCGTCTTTCCAATACCTGTTGATATGATACATCAACTCAAAGTGGATCTGCGGAAGCCACTGCTTGCTCTCCGTCGCCAGCACGTACGCCATCGCCCCCTGCGCTGTCAGGTTATCCGAAAACCCTTTCACTACTTGTGCCATCTCCTGTCGCATCTCCGCCTCCGGCTTCAAGGTCCAAAACTGCAGTAAATGGTCAAGAAGATCCCTTGAGAACTTGTCGTTACGCAGGAACAGCACACCGGTGTTCACAGCTGTGAACTCCGGTTTCACCGCGATCGATTCCTCACCCCACATCACAAGAGAATGGTCCTTGTAAGAATCCCAAGGGATCTGGAATGTCAAATCAACAATCAGAGAGTCGTGGTCAATCCAGAAATACCAGTCGAAGTTAGGTCGTCCCTGCATGACCCTCCGGAGAACGGCATACTTGTTCCACACCACTTTGCCATCTGGTTCGGGCGCCTCCATCGAAAACCATGTCTCCATTCCATGAAGACGGGCGTAATCCATTTTGTTCTTAATAGATCGGAGCATAGCTTCGTCGCCTTCTGGAGTCTCGCACTTCGGAGGGATCGACGTCACCAAGAGAACACTTGGTTTGCTGTTTGCCGCCAGCTCCAGGGATAACATCTTGTCCAGTGGGCGGCCGTCGGTCAAGGCAACGCTGACGTTCATTTCCGCTAAACTCCCAAGCTTCTCCCATTTCTGCCGCATCCGCGCCCTAGGAGACTTGACAAATCTGGTCACATCTTGGCCACTGTTCGCGAGGATCATCATAATGATGAAGAACAAGTTGATGCCCATTCCCATGGCTGCTTGTTGCTTGAGCCGCGGATGCTCTCCGAACATAATAAGAACTTTCCCTGGCAAAGATTGGATCCATGGGAGAATGCCATCCTTGCCCTCACTTTCTAGATCCCTCATCATAGAAGAGGGGATGGATGCCTCCTGCAAAACAGACATAAAACACAAAATTACCAAACACAGACCAAATGGGCTACACCACGCAGCGAAGGAAGAACAGGAGTAGGTACAGGAGGAGGTACAGGAGGAGGTAGAGAAGGAGGTACAGGAGGAGGTACAGGAGGAGGAGCGGGGGAAGTAGGGGGAAGTAAGGGGAAGGAGAAAGCAGCAGCAGTGGCGGAGGACCACCACGAGCTGTTGCAGAAGCAATAGCCTCTTTTGGCAGAGCTTTGAATGACTGCTAGCTCAGCAGGAAGCCAGTAATAAGCTACTAGAAGTCCCAAATGGATTACAAACACAAAGGACTGCCTTAGGGGGGGGGAAAAAACAGGAAAGAAAAGAGAATGGACTGCAATGGGAACGCATACTTGCGGCGCACCGGTGCGGGGCGGTGCGGGGCGCGATGCGGCGTGCGGCCATCCCGGATGCACGCGCACCGGGGTGCGCTATGTGCGCAGCGCATAGGGATGCGCACGTTGCCAGTGCACTATGCGCAGGTGCGCACACAGCCGCGCAACAGGCCAGCGGTGGTGTGCCTGGTGCGCGGTGCTTTTCATTTATTTATTCATTTCTTAAATTTTACTTAGTGGGGGAAGGTGGCCTGCATGGAGCCCTGCAGCAGTGTGCTTGGATGCCATCGTCAGCTGCATCCACAGCACGGCACAAAATGCAAATCAGCCCCTTTAACAATGACCCCCTCCCAAACAACCACTCAACCACAACCCCCCCTCCAGTTCCCCTGCTCCCCTCTTCCCTCTAACCCCGTCTCTTTCACAAATTCCAGCTGGCACAGACAAACAGAAAAAAAGGGGAAAAAAAAGGAAAAATCGGAATTCCCAATGAAGGAGGGATGACGGTTAGAGACGGAAGATCGAGGTAGGGATGGCGGTAGGAGGAGGGGCAGGGATGGAAATGGAGGGAGGGGCAGGGATGGAAATCGGAATTCCCAATGAAGGAGGAATGGCGGATTAACGGAGTAACGTTGAAGGATGGAGGGAGGAGGGAGGAATGGCGGTAGGCCGGAAGAAGGGGAGTGAGGGATACCTCCCGGAGGGAAGATGGAGGATGGAGGAGGACGACCGAAGTCGGAGAAATGAAGACGTTAAAAAAACGAAGTGAACAAATAAATGACGAATTACGAAGTAAGACGAAAAGGAGGTGTGAGAAAGGTGGTACGTCTAGGGAGGAAGGTTAACGGAGGGGGTGGAAAGGTCGGAGGAAGGAGAAAGGAGGCGGGAAGGAGGAGGGAGGAAGGAGAAAGGAGGCGGGAAGGAGGAGGGAGGAAGGAGGAGAGAAGCAGGAGTTGGAGAAAGGTGGCGCGTGGAGGGAGCAAGAAAGAAAGAAAAACAGAAAAGGGAAGTCGAGGAGGAAGCAAGACGTCGCCGTGGCTCTTTCATGTCCAGGAGGTGGGAGAAGGTGGGAGAAAGGTGGGGGGAAGGAGAAAGGTGGCGCATGGAGGAAGGAGGGAGGGAGGAGGGAGGGAGGAGAAAGGAGGTGGGAAGGATTAGGGGGGGAAGGAGCGGGGAAAGAAGCGACGAGTTGAGTGGCGGACGAGGCGAGAGCGAGAAATGTCAAGGAAGGTGGGGAGGACGAGGGAGGGAGGAGGGAGGAGGGAGGGAGGAGGGAGGAAGGAGGTGGGAAGGAGGAGGGAGGGAAGAGGGGGGGAAGAAAAGACGGTTTGAGTGACGGCGGGACGACGAAGGTGGGTGGCGGACGATGCGAGAGCTCGGAATGCGAAAGGAGGTGGGGAGGACGACGGAGGAAGGAGGGAAGGAGGAGCGAGGAAGGAGGGAAGGAGGAGCGAGGAAAGAGGGAAGGAGGAGCGAGGAAGGAGAAAGGTGGCGCGTGGAGGTAGGAAAAAGGGAGCAGGGAGGAGGGACGGAGGACAAAGGAGGTGGGAAGGAGGAGGGTGGCGGGATGGGAAAAGGACGACAGGTTGAGTAACGGCGGGACGACGAAGGTGGTTGGGGGACCACGCGGGAGGGAGGAATGAGAAAGGCGGTGGGAAGGACGAGAGACGAAGGAGGAAGGGAGGAACGAGGAAGGAGAAACGTGGCGTGTGGAGGGTGGGAGGAGGGGGGAAGGAGGAAGGAGAAAGGAGGAACGGACGTGGGAGAAAGGTGGCGCGAGGAGGGAGCAAGTGAAGAAAAAAAAACAAAAAACAAAAAACGGAAGTACAGGAGGGAGGACGACATGTGGCTCTTTCAAGTCGAGGAGGTGGGAGAAAAAGGGTGGGAGGAAGGAGAAAGGTGGCGCGTGAAGGGAGAAAGGAGAGAGGGAGGGAGGCGGGAGGAGCGAGGAAGGAGGAAGGAGGAGGTGGTGGGAAGGGGGGAGGAAGAAGGAAGGGAGGAGGGAGGAGGGAGGAGGGAGGAGGGAGGAGGGGGGAGGGGGGAAGGAGGTCAGAGAAGGTGGCGCGCGGAGGAGGGAGTATGCATCATGGAGGCGGGAGGAAGGAGCACAGAGAGAGAGAGAGAGAGAGTTGTGGGTTTGCCACGGCTACCAGCACAGAAAGAGAGAGAGAAAGGACAGAGAGAGAGAGAGAGAAAGAGGGTGGTGAGGGGTTGCAGGGGGAAAGGTGATCACCCACCTGCTCGGCTGACCTCCTCGGGCCCTGCCGCTGCCTCCTGACTCTGCTACTGCCTGATGCCGCCGCTGCCTGCACAGCACGTTGCCAGCTATGGAGGACGACAACGGGTTGAGTAACGGCGGGATGACGAAGGCGGGTTGGGCACGACGGCAGGTAGCTACCAGGACGGTCTGCGGGGACTACCTTGGGCCCTCCGGGGGGGTGGCCGACTTCGAACCAACCCTCGAATTCGAAGTTGGCCCCCTCTCCCACCAAGAAAAATTCGGGCCCGAAAAAACAATTTGGCGCCGCCCGGCCCGAAAAAATTATGCACCGAGTCACCCACCGAACTTTCGTTTTTTCCCGAAGACCGCCATTTGCCTTGCGGTGCACCGGGTGCGCGGGCGGCGCGCGCGCCACGTGTGCAATGCGCCGTGCGCAGCGTGTGCATAGGATGATTCATTACAACAATTTTTTTTTTTGCAGTGCAATACAGAGGCAGCACTGGAAGGGTCAGGCAAGCACGCTTACCCGCACGACCCCTCCGTGGCCCAGAAAAATGAATTTAATATCGTGTGGTCCGATGGACCACGGATCAGATTACAACAATTTTACTATTACTCAGTCCAACTGATGGGATGGGATGATTAGTTGTTAGACGGTAAATTAGTAATAAAATCGTAATAACAATAACATTGAAATCATTTACAGTTTGCAAAGTGCAATGAAATCCAACACAAAAAAAAACGGGGTAACTTCAGTACAGTCACAAAAACAGTTTGAAATTACACTCCAAGCATTCCCCCGAGCATAACACACCCCCACACAACCCTACCTCACCCCCTCACAACCCTACCTCACCCGAAAGGTAGCTTGTATACATTGCCAAGAACTGCAATTTGAAACTGTTTTTAGCCGTAAGTGCAATTTCAAACTCTTTTTGTGACCACCTTTGGATTTTCTCCAAGACCCTGGGGCAAAAGTTGTTGTATTGCAATTTTGTACGACAGAGTTTTTTTTCAGAATTTTAAATTTTTGGATTATTTTTTAAATATCAAAATTCTAAAAGAAATCATAACACACTTCAAAATGTCCTAATAAAATATTTTTATTCTTGGTTTTATCTTCCTCTCGAATTCGGTTGTGAATTTCTACATGGCCCTCAAGTAAAAGTTGTTTGTATTGCAATGTTGTACAACTTTTTTTTTTTTTTGAAACTTGTTGATTTTTGGGAAAATTTTCGAAATGCCCCTGAAGTTTGCATTTATTTGTGATTTACCCCTCTGACGGCCGACTTATCCTGATTTGCCCCTCTGACAGTCATTCAAGTTTCCAAAAAACCCCTGGCATCGTTTGGGCTTGAGACATTTTCAATATGCCCCTACCGTTACCTGCGCCAAATTTCCAGTTTGCCCCTACCGGATAGCCGTTCAGTACAGGCACAAGAATATTCCATATGCCCCTACCAGTACAGTACATCTCTTAGGTATGCCCTTCTGGTCGTTGCTGGCAGTAGCGGCTGTTCCCCTGGCCCTGGGAGGCTGGGAGATGTGCTACCCGGGCTT